GACTTTAAGTAGTAACTTTAGCATATGAGACATCAAGCTAATGGTGCGGTAATTGTTTTATTCTCTTGCGTTTTTCTTTTTAGGGAGACAAATAAAAATCTATGTTAACCACTCTTTGGGTAATACGCCTGAACTATAATTTTGGTTCAAGAGTGTCACTAAAACATATCTACGTCTAGAATTTTTAGGATTTCTATAGGAAGCATGACAGGTCCAGGGCTTTTTTCACTCATCATTTTGTTTAAAGCGTGTAATATTTCTTCGTTTGTAATACATGGACCTATTTCTTCTGACGTAAGTTCCATGTGCTCCAGATTTCCTGTTTCATCATCTAACAATTCGTCGATATGTTCTGCCCATCTTTGTACTTTCTCGTCCGTATGTGTTATAGTAGTCCCGTATCTATCCAGAATTGTACGAGTGGGATTTTGTTTTCTTAGTCCTTCCAGTTCTTTAACTTTCTTGTGTAGGTTAAACACATCATATTTATTTTGAAGGTCTTAGGTCTCTTTGCATTACTCTTTGAGTCATATAAAAGTTCTTAAATAGAACTTCCATTGAAGTTGTTGCTGTTTTATCTTAAATCCTCCATTTTTTAAATCTTTTTCCACTTATTTCCGCATTGTCGTTCTTAGGATGTTTGTCTTCTTTCTTCTTATTCTTATATTTACTCATTCATCGATGCCTTTACCCCATCTTAGTCTGCTATTAGTTCCACAATTTTTATCTTTCTTTCGAAAAGGTTTGGTTCCTTTTGTCCTGCTGTGATAATGGTTTTCTTTAGAATATATATTTGCCTGAGAACTATTTTAAATTGCTTTTAGATTTAAAAGCGATTCTAATGAAAAGTAATGGATTTGGAGAAAGGTTATCTGTACGTTAGTGGAATACCGTCAAAGTTTGTTAAGTAAATTTCTGAGCCATGTGCTATTTATCTTTTTAATAAATATCCAGTTCTAGGCTAGAAAATATGCAATTCAGGTTCTTGGATGGTGAAACTAGGAAACGCTTACCAAAATAAACAACTAAAACTATCAAATATATGGAAAGGTATCAAATAAATACATTAAACAGGAAGACAAATACTACAAACCGATTAGAGATTAGCTCGAATACTAAATTTGTTGGTATATATGAATAATGCACACTACAGGATAAACTTTAATGGAAGGGAAATTTTTGAAACTGCAGACTAAGCAGAAGGTAATCTTAGACAGATCATGTATTCACCTTATTGGGACTGTCCGAAGGCACTTTCCTTTGGTAAAAATTGTGGTAGTTGGTTTCAGAATTTACTATAATCCATTTGAAGGTGCTCATGCTTTTTCATGTGTTATACAGGGTGGTCCTTAAGTAATTGTACAAAAAGAAACCGTAGATTCTACACTTTAAAATATTACGATTTAAGTCAAGTTACTTTAATAAAATGTTAATATTAAGAAAGATACAGGGTGTTAAAGTGGAAATTTAAAATTTTATTTTTTGCTATAACTTTCATGTTTGTCAACATTTATGTATACAAATTTACAACTGGCTAGTATTAAATATCAGAAATTTTAATTTGATGTATACTTTGATGTATCTGATAGAGGGCGCCACATATGCCACATATGTGGCATATATTTGCACTTAACTTTTTTGCTCCTCAAGTTATGCATATTTTTGTTAAAAAATATTAAAGATACATTATTTTAACAAAAAAAAGGTATACTTCTTAATATCCTCAAAACTCAACAGTTTTCGAGATAATCGCATTTTAAAAATCAACTACATAATTCTGATTTATCTCAATTACTCCAGACAACGAAAGAAAATTAAAGAAAAACATAAATACTTCTGAATTTTGGTATAAAATACCTTTAATAAAGTTAATAGTTAACGAATTATTAAATAAAATAAATATATCAGCAGGATAAAATAACAGGATTTGATAAATAACAGAATAATTGGATTTTACATCAAACATTTTACGTTTTGTATTAAATTAAAGGCATAATTAAAACATTTTATTTACAAACCAAATTAAGAAATAGTTAAACTAAATAACGTTGAACTTTTTGTCAAAGTAGGTGTTCAATATGTCCACCATTTTCTTTAATTCATTTGTCAATACATTCCATAAAATATCGTCTCATATTAAATAGCATCATTGGTTCTAAAGAAACTGCTGCAGTATTTATTATTAGTGTTTATACGTATAATAATAAGTAATTTTTTGAAATTTATATGAATTAAATAATTATATTAATATCTACCACAAGAATATGACTACCACGAAGAATTCAACGTTCAGGAAAGTTGTTTTTAAACACTGTCCCACTCCGCTTTCTCTGTAACGTAATGGTGTACCATCTTATAGAAACCACATATTTCGCCTTAAGTTTGATGACAATTCTTTGAATAAATCAATAAAATAATTTTATAAAAAATGTAAATAAATCTCGACATTCAAATTGCAAAGTAATTCGCATATCCGTAAAAAATAATTACCAATGATTCCAAACCATAGGACATGCATTTTAAATATGAATTTTGTATGATATTTTATTGATATGCGAATTACCTTGCAATTTGGATGGTTAGATTTATTTAGATTTTTATAAAATGATTTTATTGATTTATTGGAAGAATTGTCATCAAACATAATGCTAAATATTTGGTTTATGCAAGATGGTACACCAATACATTACAGAGAAAGGGGAGTGAGAATATTTAAAAAAAACTTTCCTGAACGTTGGATTGTTCGTGATAGTCATATTCCTTGATTATGTGGTAAGATATTAATATAATTATTTACTTCATAAAAATCCCAAACGAATACCTATTGTTATACCTACTTATAATGAGTACTGCAGCTGTTTCTTTAGAACCAATGATGCTATTTAATATGAGACAATATTTTTTAGAATGCATTAACAAATGAATTAAAGAAAATGGTGGACATATCGAACACTTACTTTGACAAAAAGTTTAATGTTATTTAGTTTAACAATTTCTTAATTTGGTTTGTAAATAAAATGTTTTGATTATGACTTTAATTTAATACAAAACGTAAAATGTTTAATGTAAAATCCAATTATTCTGTTATTTTATCGAATTCTATTATTAATTATCCTGCTGATATATTTATTTTATTTAATATCTCGTTAACTATTAACTTTATTAAAGGAATTTTATAACAAAATTTAGAAGTATTGATGTTTTTATCTATTTTTATTTCATTGCCTGGAGTAATTGCGTTAAATCAGAATTATGCAGTTGATTTGTAAAATGCGATTATCTCGAAAACTGTTAAGTTTTTAAGTTATTATCAAGTATACCTTTTCTTTGTTAAAATAATGTATCTTTAATATTTTTTATCAAAAATACCGCTAACTTAAAGAACAAAAAAGTTAAGTGCAAATGTACGCCACGTATGTGGTATATGTGGCGCCCTCTATTGGCTATATCAAAGTATGCATCAAATTATAATTTCTAATATTAAATAGTACCCAGTTGTAAATTTTTATACATAAATGTTTACAAACATGAAAGTTATAGCGAAAAATAAAATTTAAATTTCCACTTTAACACCCTGTATCTTTTTTAATATCAACATTTTATTAAAGCAAGTTGACTTTAATCGTAATATTTTAAAGCGTAGAATCTGCGGTTTCTTTTTGTACAATTACTTAAGGACCACCCTGTATAGATACGATTATTAGAATTAAGCACATAAACAATCATTACCAGATGTTTTTACGTCAAAACTGCAATTTTCTTCTAATATATTGCTTGTTCTGTACTTTCAATTTCATCATAAACACATTTATTTTAGGTTTTGTTTCATTAGATTTTCAGAAAAACGAAAAATCTCACAATATTGTAAAGAATAAGACCCTTATACACCAAAATTTATAAAAATTGTGCAAGCCATTTCCAAGTTAATTAGGCGTCCCATACTTAAAACTCACCCTGTAGATTAAGAATAAAAAAAGACAAAAGCATTATTCTAAAAGTATAAAAAAGCCTCAATTTTTGTTTTTTTCTAAAACGTTTGTAGGTGCTTTTGAACATATTCTGCAGTGATTTTAAGTCGTGACATTTTTGCACTCCAAAATCTCTACTATTTTTCTGATTCAATTTTTGAAGTTTCGCAAGAAATACATGATTACCCCCGTTTCGGGTGATGGCACCATTTTTCCTTCAGGTTTTATTTAAAACATGATCCCAAGAATCTGTCCTCAAATTTCAAAATCATTGTTTTTGACATCAAAAAAGGGAAATTTTCGGTGGAATTCGACATATATTTAATTTCATCGTCTTTTGTTAAACTAAGCGTTCTCATTCCTGGTTTTGCTAGAAAATACGAGAAATATTTTTCTTTCCTTTTAACTGGTTAACATTCATTTTCATATATCATTAGCCGGTGATTTATGTAGAATGTATTTTTCATATATTCTGAGCTAACTCTATTGCATGCATATACATATATTTACCCATTGCAGTTTAAGCACAACCCGTCGAGACCAGGAATGACATTTGAAATTTTGCTTGGTGTAGAGAGCAGACAGAGAAGGTATTCCAAAGAGTTGGAACCCGCTGGAAATCGGCTACGTGATTTTGATACTCAGTCTACTGGACTAGTCTACTTCTACTACTAAAATATTTTCCTAAATTTTATTGCGGATCAATTGGGCCTGCTGATTGTAGAATTTTATGTCATTACTAGATTTGACAAAATGCACTACAACCCTTTATGGGTCTTGACCTGTCTAACCACGTTCTTCCATTCTTACTAGTCGGATACTTTCCTTCGCCACAAATTTTACATACATATAACTATTTTAAACACTTACGGCTACTTCATATTTCCAATTTTAACGTACAAGTTGAGTAGTAGCTTGTATACAGTTCAGTAGCACTGTATTGGATTGTTTAACCTTGAAACATGGAAGTAGTAATTTTTGTATAATCATGTGTTTGAAAAAAATTTTTAATAAAATATTTTTTTGTTTCAGGTAAGTGACTTAACCTTAACGAAACGTGTAATCAAATGTAACGTAGATGTTGTCATGAGGTAAGTAAGTAATAATAATTTGCTATAGTAAAATTGTCGAACTGAACATTTAATTTTTAAATGTTTGAATAGATTAGTAGAAAAAATAATACTTGCATGTAATTATAACGTTTCTCAAATTATCCTAAACATCAGTTGGGGTGATTTTTCGAAGTGATTGATCTGCATTGTATGTTATTCGTTCAAATATAATAGTTGAAAAGTACAAGAGGACAGCAATATAAAAAGACATGCAAACGTTTTGAACAAACGACTCTATAGTGGTGAATTAATGTATTTTGTAAATCTAGCGACAATAATTTTATATGACAGCTTTAGGTAAAAGTATTGATTAGAAAATGTAGAAAAGTAGTTACCTTTAAACTAGTGCTAGAACAAATAACAAATACGTTTGAGTTGGAAGTAGACTACTCCGTCAAGGTAATATAAAAGAAGCAGTTCAATAAATAATTACATAAAACCTTGAATCAGGCTATCTTTTGCACTAGAAAACATATCACGTGGGCCTAGAATAGATCACATAAGAATTTGCCATGAATACGACAAAACGTTTTCTACACAATGGAAATGCAGATCAGATAAACATGTTAGCAAAACACAATTGATACATGAATATGTGTATTGAAATGGCTGAAGTGATTATTATCCATTCTTATCAGGTTTCTTCCAATTGTTTCCATTTATCCCTGAGTTATAAAGTCTTAATCATTTAATCTTATTACTATCTTACGTCTAAAATATCTTTCACTATCTTCAGCCAATATTTATTTTTGTTTAAAAACATATTTAACAGTGTTTGTTGTTTTAGATTTGCTCATTCTTTCATTTTCTTTATGTCTCACAATTATGTACACAAAAAATCTACCCAAAAATATACTCAATTACAATCTAAAAGGCAAGAGAGATGTAGACAGACTTCGGAAAAGATGGTCGTATTATTCTTATGAAGACGGAACAGACAAAGCTTTATCCCTCCCTACTACTTTGTTCCAAAGTAGAGATAGTGCAAACACTGTTGACCATAGAGCTGCGCGAAGACGGTGTCAAAATTCACGTAAAGGCAGAGAGGTTCTAAGTGGAATTATACTAACCAAACTGAAACGTTCTACCTTCGACTGCAACCTCGAAATTGTTAACAGTGCGTTTCGCATGGAAGTGGAGATTAAACACAATTAGTGTTTGCACTATCTCTATGTATGTATCCAAAGCTGCGCATCCTATTCTCATTGTTTTGTTTTCAATGTTCATTTTCCTAGTGATGATTTTTGCAGATCTGATATCATCGTACCAGTACTTAGTGGTTCTTCCTAACTTATTGCTCCCAGTATTATATAACCATCGAATCTTAGTTGACTTAAATATTTTTCGTTTACGCATATTCTTTTACCTTAATGGACTTAATAACTCATGAAAATATCTTCCAAAGACAAAAAATCTACAGTTTGGTTGATATTGTATGCCCTTGGCTTCCTCTAGCAATTACAATTGTTTGTGTTTACAAATTATGGTCTAGCTGAATTTTCATAGTGACAGTTTTTCGTGCAATCTATGTAGTAATTTTCTAGAACGTCTTCTATCGTCCGTGGCTCTATGCTATGTATGTAATTAATCAATGTAAGGTATTACTGATTACACTGATGCCTTTTGTCTTCGAATATTTAATGAACCGTATTATTTTTAGCCGTTTATGCTTTGTGTAGACACAACAAAAACTCACTGAACTGTGTAATGCTTTATTTGAATTTATTACCACGCTGTCAAATCTTACCTATCGCTATTACTGATTAAAATACGTTTTGTGATCATAGCTTAGCTAGACATGCGCTGTCCGGCTCACAGTGCGTCCCCAACTGTTAAGAAAATTAATACTCAACATAAGATGTGGTGAGATGTTTATTCGTTGACTTAACATATCTACATATCTATTTAATTAGCCAAAAACATCCATTTTTGGACTCCCCTTAATTTTTCTAGAATTCTATATAGAGCGCCTTTTGTATCCATCTAGGTCCAGCATGTTAGTTTATGTCATCTGACCTCCTAAGCTACAGTCTTTCTCTTTGACGTTTATGATTTCAATGTCTGTAATGTATAACTATTTTGTTCCATCGGTCATCCTTTTGTTTTTTTTTCACGAAATTTACAATTAAATTTGGCTACTTAAGTCAAGATGTCGAGACGTCTTTTAATTTCCAGTATTTCCAGCTACTTTTAATAGAATCCTTTCTTTTGCTACCTGATTGTCTAATGTTTAGCACCTGTCTTTCCACAGATCATTGCTTTCGATTTTTTTATATATTATTCTTGCTATATGTTCAAATTTGATAGTTTTATGTAAGAACATTGAGTACTTACTGATACAAAACCCTCATTTTTAAGTACTGTAGGTAAAATTATCAAGACAACGTCTTTTAGGACAAACATGAAGATTGTCCTAAGTGACTGGACTGTAGATCCATAGCTCGCAGACTCCGATCTGACTCAAAGGACCAATTATGTAGATAAAATGAGTATCTAAACAAAATTTAAACATTAACAATGTACAAAATAGAGATACTTGATAGGATAGAATAGGGAAATGGATAAAATTATACGAGCTCTTACCTGTAATTTAGAAATGTCAAATACTAACGGCTCAATAAGTTATCCATAGGTGTGAAAAATCTATTAAGAAGAGATAAGTACAAATACTACTAGTTAATAAAGTCTTTGGAATCTCTATGTTCAATATTGTCCATCCAGGTCGCTATCGCGCATATTTTGATGGTAGAGATGTGGACTTATGCAACTATGCGAAAACACGCACTCTCTGGTTTACACAAAAGTAATTTTGGTGGATATTGCTAACTTTTAATTTCTCTTATGTTAAAAGCGGGACAAATCATTGATAGATCGGAGAGCATTCTATATGTGTATGTAGAGTTTGAGTGTATAAGGGCTGCTGAACCAGAGATATTGCTTCGTCACCGTCTGCATTTGCTTTGGTTTTTGTAGGTAGGTGCCTGGTGTTCCGGGAGTCTTCTTGGAAACTAGATATGTCTTTTGCGTTGCTTTGGAAAATTATTGCCAAAAGTGGAGTTAAACTGTTATTACCAAATTAAAAATATTAGATGTTCGCATTCGAATAGGTACTGGTGGTGTTTTTGTTCTTTAATATATAAGATAGTTAACCAAATGCTGCTCAAGCCAATCTGCTCCTTTTAATTTTCTCATTCTGATTTTCCTTGTTCAATTTTGTGATATGCCTCAAGTATACATACTCATTTACTTGCTATAAGTTTGTTTGTTCTACTTCAATATTGAAGTCTTTTGTTTTGGTTGGTCATAGTGTTAGTTTTTTCACAGTTCATCTTTTGATTTCTTACGCTACGCTTCACAGATACAACCTTTAATTTCTTACCCTACCAGGTATAAGTAAGATATACATTTTACCATGAATAATACAGAACAACAACAAATAGGGGAAATGACATATTTTTTATAACCAATTAAAGTTTTTTTTTGAAACTTTTTTGTAAATTAAAGTATTTGCTAGTTAAAAGTTTGACTGGACCTCTCATATTAAATTTATTTTTCTCCTCGTTTGTGAGATATTTTAAGTAATAGCTAACTCTTCTAATATATTTAAGTTCAATTTAGTGTCAAAAGTTTAAAGAACCAAAAAACCGCTTTCCGTAGAATACTTTAAAGTTTGATAAACTTTTAAGGGCTCTTTAATAAAATCCGGGACTATACTACATTTTCATACCCAATATAACTTGAAATGTACCCAAGAGATAAGTTATAGTGCCATAAAAACAAACAGCCCTGCGCTTTATATTATAAAATGAACGATTTGGACCGTTTTACTACGATTCTACTAGCGTAATAGGGAAATCAGAAACAGAGAATTATATCAGTGAGAGATATGATGTTTGATCGATATGCATTTGCTTTCAAATGTTAAAATCATTTTTTGACAATTTTGGACATTACAGTTTGAAATCATAATTCTATCAGTAATAATCTGTTTTTAGATTATAATAAAAATTTTTGAAAACTTGTGATACTTTGTTTTGTCGGGTCCATCCAATAATAATACTGTAACAGATACAGAAACATTAATGACGGATTGATGTAGTATTAGGGATTATATGGGTGAAAATTACCGATGATGATCACAATTTTCCATTTCTGAGTAAATTTTTGTTTTAAAATAATGATTTTTACAAAGAAATTTTTTAGAATCCCTGGTTTTAATGTAGTTCGGGTACATTTTTTTAGATTACTAGTAGCTTTATGCTACGAGATCCATATATTTTTTAACAGGTAATATTATCTTCCGGTAGTATTTTGTTCATTATAAGCACCTGAACATTAATATAAAACACGAGTCTTGAGATGCTATGTATTTTCTACCCTTTTATAAAGAGTCGAAACCTAGACCTTGACGCAGGCAACATAAAAACGCTTAGAAGCCTTCGAAATGTGGTGCTACCGCCTCATGCTCAGAATTTCTTATATCCAGCATGTTACGAACAACACCGTGATCCAACGTATGAATAAAGATCTGGAAATTATGCGTATCGTGAAAATCAGAAAGATGACATCCTGTGGACATGTGATGCGCAATGAGAAGTATCAACTAATTCAAGTAATTTTACAAAGCAAGATAGAAGGCAAAAGGCAAGGGCGCAGAAGGACATCGTGGTTGCAGAACATCAAACAATGGGCAGGAATGACTACCATACATCTATTTAGAGCAGCTGTCAACAAAGTTGTATGGACCAAAGTGATTGCCAACATCCACAGAGGATAGACACCAAAGGAAGAATAGTATTTTTTTGTTAACTAACTTTCTTAAAGCTTCATTAAGTTGTAATGTCATCTGTAATATTTAAGAGCCAAGTATTAATATTTTTATTCTTCGAGTCTTCTAGATTTCTTTTGTTCTTGAATTTTGTATTGAATTGCAACTTGCATTGCATATTTCTTTAATATGCTATAACATATGCAATATATGCTTTAATATATAAACCTTAAATTTAAAGAAACACTTGGTAGTTACATAAACTTCATAAATCGTATGGCAAAAATATTTATTACAAGGTCTACCTACAACTTGTCCTGCAAATTATACTTAAATTACTTGAAAAACAACTTGTGTTACAGGGGTCATCAATTTTGTATGATGCCGTATTTTGAATCTGACAAAAGATTTTAGGATAAGAGTGTACTTGCGACCCACGCATAATGGATCACAATGGTGATAATATTTTACGTTAGTGTTTCAATTGGCTATCTGGAGTATTATTAACAGTTTCAAGTGACTGTCTGGAATATAAACAGTACCAACTGTCGCCTAATCATAAGAAAATACTAAATATTTTAAATTGACTTCCGTATTTTGTTGTAATTTTGTAAAGCTTTGTCTCAGTGTAAAAATATAATCTGTGACTGATCATCTGCTTTTTAGAAAACCATATTGATATTTTCCTATTATTTGTTGTACATTAAATCACGAATCGACAAAAATAGGTCTACAAATGAATTATAATAAAACGAAAATTATGACCAACCAACCAGAAGAATTAATAATTACAGTTGCACGAACAACTATAGAACAAATAAAAGAATATGTATATTTGGGACAACTAGTTAAATTAAGTAAAGAAAATCAGAACGGAGAAATAAAGAGAAGGATACGGTTGGCTTGGGTATCCTTCGGAAAACTTTCCTATATACTAAACAATAGAAAATATCCCCAATATTTAAAAACGAGAGTCTTCAATCAATGTATACTTCCTGTTCTCACCTACGGTTTTCAAACTTGGACGTTTACAAAGGAAAACATGGAAAAATAGCAAAGACCCAAAGAGCCATGGAAAGGCAAATGCTGAACATCAAGCTATCAGACAAGAAAAGAAATACTTGGATCCGCAATAAAACAAAAGTGACCGATGTATCA